ACTTCCACTTTCTTTCCTCAGCTGGGGCAGCCGCAGTGGAGGGGCAGGACCTCCTGCTGGAGCAGCACCAGCTGCTGGAGCAGGTCCACCAGCCCCTACATTGCAGATGAGGCTCCCGATGTTGACATTGGCCAGGGCCTTTGCAAACAACTACGAGCTCGCCTGCATCTACTCGGCCGTCATTCTGCACGACGATGAGGTGACCGTCACGGAGGATAAGATCAATGCCCTCATAAAAGCAGCTGGTGTAAATGTTGAACCTTTCTGGCCTGGCTTGTTTGCAAAGGCCCTGGCCAATGTCAACATCGGGAGCCTCATCTGCAATGTAGGGGCTGGTGGACCTGCTCCAGCAGCTGGTGCTGCTCCAGCAGGAGGTCCTGCCCCCTCCACTGCGGCTGCCCCAGCTGAGGAAAAGAAAGTGGAAGCAAAGAAAGAAGAATCTGAGCAGTCTGATGATGACATGGGCTTTGGTCTTTTTGACTAAATCTCTTTTGTAACATGTTCAATAAAATGTAGAACTCTTAAAAAAAAAATCTCTTTAAATATTTTACAGAGTTTTGAGGGTTTTTTTTTTTTCTGTTAACACCATGCTGGTTAAAGTGTCTTGAAGTTTGTCTGTAAGTGACTTGTACTCTTTCCAAGACAGTTATTCTTGCATATGTACACATGAGCATACAGCAGACACAGTAATTTAAACTGGGCTGGGGCAGCGTGGTGCAAAGGCAGTAGTGCTTTTCAACATATTTGGTAAATCCATCCCACAAATTCTTCTCGTGTACCTTTGTATACTAAAATGTTGGTTAGCACTTGTTTGTTTCTCTCTCTTTCTCTCTTTCTTTCTTTCTCTCTCTCTCTCTCTCTCTCTTCCTTTCTTTCCTTTCTTTCTTCTTTCTTTTTCTTTTCTTTCTTTTCAACAGAATCTCATTCTGTCTCCCGGCTATAGTGCTGTGGCGTCAGCCTAGCTCACTGCAACCTCAAACTCCTGGGCTAAAGTGATCCTACTGCCTCAGCCTCCTGAGTAGCTGAGACTACAGGCACAAACCACAACACCCACTAATTTTTCTATTTTTAGTAGAGCTAGGGTCTCACTCTTGCTCAGGCTGGTCTCGAAGTCTCGCTTAAGCCATCCTCCTGCCTTAGTCTCCCAGAGTGCTAGGATTACAGGTGTGAGCCACTGTGCTTGGCCCCACACGTGTTTCTTTATTTTCATTATTATTGACTTTTTGCTGTTTAGGTCTATGAAATTTAACATGTATAGATTTGTGTAACCAATCACAATTGGGATACTAAAAAGTTCTATAATGCAGATAACTCTATCCAATCTCTTTATAGTCACACCTTCCACCCACCCGTAACCCTTAAAAAAAATCACATTTTTATATCACTATAGTTTTATGTTTTAAGATTATCATATACATTTTTTTTTTTTTTGAGACAGAGTCTATTCCTGTTGCCCTGGCTAGAGTGCCATAGCATCAGCCTAGTTCACAGCAACCTCAAACTCCTAGACTTTTTTTTTTTTTTTAACAAAAAACTCCTAGACTTAAGCGATCCTTCTGCCTTAGCCTCCCAAGTAGCTGGGACTACAGGTATGTGCCACCATGCCCGGCTAATTTTTTCTATATATTTTTAGCTGGCCAATTAATTTCTTTCTATTTTTAGTAAAGACGGGGTCTCACTCTTGCTCAGGCTGGTTTCAAACTCCTGACCTTGAGCGATCCTCCCACCTCGGCCTCCCAGAGTGCTAGGATTATAGGTGTGAGCCACTGCTCTTGGCCAGATTATCATATCAGTTGAATCATGTAGTATGTAATAGGCTTCTTTCACTCATTACAGTGAATTTGAGATTCATCCAGATTGTTGCTTGTATCAATAGTTTATTCTTTTTTTTTTTAATGCTGAGTAGTATTCCAATACACACACACACTCATCTCATAGTTTGTTTCTTTATTCCCTATTGGAGGACATTTAGTTTGCTTCCTGTTTTTGATGATTATAAATAGGACTGTAGGCCAGACGCGGTGGCTTAACGCCTGTAATCCTAGCACTCTGGGAGGCTGAGGCATGCTGATCGCTTGAGGTCAGGAGTTCGAAACCAGCCTGAGCAAGAGCAAGACCCCGTCTCTACTAAAAAATGGACACAAATTAATTGGCCACCTAAAAATATATAGAAAAAATTAGCTGGGCATGGTGGCACATGCCTGTAGACCCAGCTACTCAGGAGTCTGAGGCAGTAGGATCACTTGAGCCCAGGAGTTTGAGGTTGCTGTGAGCTTGGCTGATGTCATGGCGCTCTAACCTGGGCAACAGAGTGAGACTCTGTCTCAAAAAGTAAATAAACAAATAAGTAGGACTGCAGTAGAGGGATTTTTATGAATGTTGAATTTTCATTTTTCTGTAGTAAATACCCAGAAGGGAGATTATCAGGTTGTGTGATAAGTATATGTTTAACTTTGAAACTGCCAAACCATTATTCAGAATGGCTACATTATGTGTCCCCACTGACCATGCATGTGAGTTGCAGTTGTCTGTATCCTTAACAGCATTTAGTATTGTGGGTATTTTTAATATTAGCCATACTAATAGATTTGTTGTGTTATCTCATTGCTATTTAAATTTGCATTTCCCATGTGGCTAATGGTGAAGCACACATTTTTTGTATTTATTTGCCATCTATATATCCTCTTGGTGAAGTGCCTGTTCAAATCTTTTGCCCATTTTAAAAAATTGAATTGTTTGTCTTCTTAGTGTTGAGTTTTGAGATTGCTTGTTATGTGTTCTTTACTAGATATATGGTTTGCAAATATTTTTTTCTCAATCTGTAGCTTCTCTTTTAATTCTCTTAACTATGTTTTTCTTAGAGCAAAAATTTTAATTTTTATAATATCCAACTTATCAGATTTTTTGAATTGTGCTTTGAGTGTCATGTCAGAGAACCTTTTGTCTAACTTGAGTCACAAAAATTTCATTCTATTTTTTTCTAAATGTTTTATACTTTTATGTTTTCCATTTAGATCTATGATCCATTTTGAGTAAATTTTTGTATAAGTTAGCAGATTTAGGTATTTTGTTTTGCATAAGAATATCGTATTGTTCCAATTATATCTGTTGAAAAAAACCTGTACTTTCTCCACTGAATTTCTTTTGCACCACTGTTAAAAATCAAAGACCATATCAGGGTGGATCCATTTTTAGACTTTCTATTCTGTTTCATTCATAGCCTCTCCCTTCACTGATACCACACAGTCTTGGTTATTTGAGCTTTATTATAAGTCTTAAAATTATATAGTGTAATTCTTCAAACTTTATTTTTCTTTTCCAAAAGTGTTTTAACTAGTCTTTAATTAGTCTTTCCTTTACTTTCTATATAAGTTTTAAAACGAGCTTATTTGTAGCTTGTCTTTAAAAATCCTGCTAGATTTTTTTTATGTATTTTAAACTTTTTTCCTAGATATCTTAGTAAGCTTGGGCTGCTATAACAAATTATCATAGACTTGGTGGCTTTAACAATACCCATTTATTTCTCATATTTATGGAAACTGGGAAGTCCAAGATCAAGGTGCTAACGGTTCAGTTTCTGGTGAGTGCTCTCTTCCTTGATTGTGGATGGCTATCTTCTTTCTGGGTCCTCATATGGATGTGAGGGCAGAAGGGGGAGGGAGATGAGAGAAAGAGGAAACTCTCCTGTTTCTTCTTTTAAGGGCACTAATCCCATTATGAGGATCTAACTCTCATGACCTTGTCTAAACCTAATCACCTCCCAGAGGTCTCATCTCCAAATGTAATTACATTGAGGAGTTAGGGGTTCAACACATAAAATTTGGGGGGAACATAGTTTAGTCTATAGCACTGGGGTTACCCTGAGGATTATAATTAGCATCTTAACTTTGTCACAATGGAGTTTGAATTAATACCAACCTAGTTTCCATAGTGTTCAAAAACTCAGATCCTTTAAAACTCCATCACTCATCCCCTTTATATTAATATTGTTACAAATTGCATCTTTATATGTTGTGAGTACATTAATATAAATTTATAATTATTGTTTTATTCATTTATTTTTTAAATCATATAGGAAAAAAAAAGAGGAGTTACAAACCAAATATGCAACACTACTGGTTTTTATATTTATATACATAGCTACCGTTACCATTCTTCATTTCTTCATAATGGCTTCAAATATCCTTTCATTTCAGCCTGGAGAATGCCCTTTAGCATAATTTCTCCTTTATTTTTAATTGATAGTTTTGCCAGACATAGAGTTCTTGGTGGAAAAGTTTTTCTTTCAGCACTTTGCCTTACTTCTTTCTGACTTGTATGGATTCTGAAGAAAATTGTCCATTTTAATCTTATAGAGTATCTCTTGCATGTGATGTCACTTCTCTCTTGCTGCTTTCTAGATTCTCTCTTTATCTTTAGGTTTGGACAATTTGACCATAATGTATCTGAGGGAAGAATACAAGTTCCCCATTGCTGGCATTTAATATGTAACAGAACTCATGCAGATTTCTTCAGAGATATAGATCAAAAAACAAGATAGCCAAAAAAAATGTGCAAGGTACCCAAATCACAGAGGGTATTCTTAAGTAGCTCCTTTTACATAGATGGTTGTCTTACCTGTAAATATGTGATGATGTGGCGAGAGCTCTGTGTCACTTGCCAGAAAGAAACCTAAGGCTCCAGAAACAGGCAGACGGTGTGGATTTTACTCTGTAGAGAACTTTCTGTTGCAGTCCAGGAGTGACAGTTCCATGTAAGTAACCTCTAATGAATTAATCTAATCAATCAACTTGAATTTATCTGGGTCATTCTTTGGTCTCTCGTACTCTTTCAGTTTGGGGGCAGTTCTTCTTTACCATCCTAGGATTTTCCCAAACAGTGTCAAGCTGTGGATTTTTCTGAGTTTTTCCTTCTTGTAGTTCATTGAGTGTCTGGGATGTGTAGATCCATGATTTTTCATCTAATTTAGAAAGATTTTAACTGTTATTTCTTCAATTTGGAAAGTTTTAAAACATTATTTCTTCAATATTTTTTTTGTTTCTGTCTCTCCTTTTTTTCTGGTAGTCCTATTATATGTATGTTGATATACTTGATGGAGTCCCATAGGTCTCTTAAGCTGAGACATTTTTCTACACCAGTGAGTTTTTAATTTCAGTTATTATGTTTTTCATTTCTAAGATTTCCATTGGGTTATTTTCAATATGTTTTATTTTTTTGTTGAGACTTAGTAGTTTTACACTGGCTTCAAGAATTGTTTTGGGTTTTTTTTTTTGCTTCTTTGTTTTTTTGAGACAGGGTCTTGCTCTGTCACCCAGACTGGAGTGCAGTGGCACAAACATAGCTCGCTGCAGCCATGAACTCCAAAGCTCAAGTGATTCTCCCATTTCAGCCTCTTCCCAAGTACTGGGATTACAGGCATGGGCCAGCAAACCAGACCAAGAGTGTTCTTGACTGTTTGCTGAAGCAATTTTGTAACACCTGCCTTGAAGTCTTCATCAATTAAGTACATATAACATCTATGACATCTTGGCAT